GTTTTTGCTTAACCATATTATAATAACAATTATTATTTATTTATAACCATTAAAATGTAAGATTATGTTAAATGTTAATGAGATGTGTTAACTTTAAGTCCTAATAAAATTTATAGATAATACATTTAATGTATTATTTATATGTGAAAACTTTGAAAAACTTAGTTTAATTTATACTTAACCCACCTCAATAATCCTGGCTACGCCACCATTTTTATTTTTATAGGTAATGATTATTGTATGAAATATTATGTAGAATGTCAATAAAATATATATTATTAGTTATTACTGTTTTTTAAATGTGTAATATTTTTAACTAAATGTTTCATACATATATATTATATTCGATTTTGGGTTTTAGAATACAACAAATGATTCAATTAAAAAAACATTGAGTAGAAGTTTGAAATCTAGAAACGCCAAATACTGGCCAGCAATACCTAGTTTTGCATTGACGTTACAATTTTATTCATCAAAGGCTTATGCATATGTTCGTAAAATGTTTAATAATTTATTACCACACCCTGCAACACTAAGAAAATGGTATACAGTAGTCAATGGTAACCCTGGTTTTACTAGCGAAGCTTTCCAAGCAATTGAATTACATGTTAAAGATAGTAAACAACCAGTGGCATGGAATATTACTATTGATGAGATGGCAATACGAAGATTTTAATGGTAAATTATATGGTTGTGTTGATTTGGGAACTGGCAATATTGAAAATGACCAGGATAATGTTCAAGAAGCTACTAATGCTCTAGTGTTTTTAGCAGTATGCTTAAACGGTCATTGGAAGGTCCCAATAGGGTATTTTTTGGTTCATAGTTTTTCTGGTAGCGAAAGAGCCAATTTATTAAAACATTGTTTTTGGCGACAAAAAAATTCTTATCAATGACAAAAATGAAGAGATACAATGGAGCCATATAATACAATTACAGGAAGTTCAAGAATCCAAAGGTCTGCATGCTGCAAATAAATTTAAAGAAAATCATATTAGATATTACGAGAACAAGATGAATGTTCGTTTAGCTGCGCAAACTTTGAGCTCAAGTGTCGGTTTAAGTTTGAAGTTTTGCGAACAACTAAACGTTTTAAAGGGAACAAAGGCTACTTCTGAGTTTTGTGAAATTTTTAATGATGCCTTTGATATTACAAATTGTCGAAACAAATTAGCAAAAGGGAATTACTACATTACAAATCAACGATAATACTTTACCCAAAATAAAATCGTTTTTGGAGAAATTCAAATTGTATGTTGAACAACTTAAGTATGGGAGAAAAATCCATGAACTTGACGGTGAAAGTCTGTTAAAAAGTCAAAGAAAAACTGGATTTTTAGGCTTCATTATATGTATTTCTAATCTTATTAATTTGTTTCATTTGGCTAAACGTTATGGTATGACTTACTTACTAAGTTACAAATTAAGTCAGGATCACATAGAAGTATTTTTTAGCGCTATGAGAAGCCATGGAGGATATAATAACAATCCCAATGCAATTCAATTCCAGACAGCATACAAACGTCTACTTGTACGGCATGAAATAAAAGGATCGGAGTTTGGCAATTGTTCTCCACTTGATTGTGCCAGCATCTTATTTGTTGGCACTAGTTCTAGAAAAGATGCAGATGCAATTTGCGACATACATTGTGATGAAAATGAAAAGATCTGTTTATTCAATGAATTTGACCATGATTATTATGAAAGATTACCAATACTAGAAGAATATGTAGTAGATATTGTAAAATATACTTCTGGCTTTATTGTGAAAAAAATCAAGAGTAAAAAAATTCTTTGCGACATATATGATTCACATTTAACATCGAATGATGATGTAGATACATCAATATTATTAGAAATTAAAACAAAAGGTAAGCTAACGAAAGCATCTGCTGATGTTCACAAAATATGTCTAACAGCAGAATATATTTAGACTTCAAACAAACATTTTGTTGAAAGATAAAAACCTAAAACAAAAACTTTGCATCAAATCAATGAATGAAATAGGTATGAATTCATCCATTTTCAACACTCAAATAATGCTTAACCATATTCTTACCCAGGATATATTTGACAATCATAGGACTCAACTAATAAAGCTTATTATAGAACATTACATAACTTTAAGGATGCATCACTATGTAAAACAGCACAACCAGGTAACAACTAGAAAAAATATAAGAAGAAAATATACTAAATTAATTTTATTTAAAAACCAATAGCCACTATGAGTTATGACCACTATACCCATAATTACATTTATTATGGTGAATAAGATGAAATGTTTTTAATTACTTTATTGTATAAAATTTATTGTACTTATTAATATTTATGCATATTGTATTTTAATATTGAATATTAACCGTGGACAAATTCACATTTCACGTAAACAGTAAAATATACGTAATAACTAATCACATATCATATTTTTACTATAATGATTACGCATGCGCAATAGATGCGCATGCGCAATTTATATCGGTCACCTTAATAATGTTGTATTCAACTTCTAGTACACGTTTATATTGCAGTAGCTCTATCCATAGTATATGATCTAAGGCTAAATAACTAGGTATGATCGCATTGAGACGCATTTTAGTTATGGGCGGCGCACGTACTAATAGGCAATGTATTGATTTAGCACGGAAAAGAATCCCAGTTGGCAGTGATTTTTAGATTTACTTATCCATAGAATTAATAATTTTGGATTGTTTTGTTAATAAATAAATCGAAGTGATAATATGCACTGCCAGTGTGGCGGCCACGACACTTGCGTATCACAAAGTTGCGATCATACTTAGTTATTTAGCCATGGATATATTAATATATTTTACCGCCTTTTTATGTATTTGAATGTGTGAATATTTTGGAGATCATAATATTTGTTATTAATTGTGAATCGGTATTCGTATTTATAATATTATTGTAGCTTGTACTAGTGTAAAGTGTTAAACTGTGAACTTTTAAACTTGTTATATTATTATTTAAAATGACTTGCTGTGTTCTTTCCCTAACAGTACATAAAATAACATATATGTAACCGCAACATAACTTTGTAATATAAGCTTAGTAACAGTTACGTATTAATATCTGCCAGAAATATAACCGTTATATTACTGTTAAGTGCCTATGTCCGCTTTGTCTTAATAAACAAATTTACATTATTTTATATAACATTAATGTTACATAGACATAGTAATACTTCTAATATATAATAATTTACAACAGGAATACTATTATTGATCAATTATGCATAACTATAGATATAAAATAATTAAAATGTTATGCACGGATGCATAACAGTTATATACATAATATACACCACAATATTGTGGAATTTCAAATTACAATATAATATAATATAATATAGATTGACATCTATATTATAAATATATTATTTATTATATTGCAGTAAAAATGTCATAATACCTGGTAAAAATTAAAATATCTCATTAAAATGTAACTGACACCAATGTAGATTATCCAATTTCATATTTATTAAACACAATAAGTTGAAATACTATAATATTTACTGTTTATTTTAATAATATTATGAAATATGAATTGATTATCATCACTGATAAAAATGTTTAGATAAAACATTTATTATATGGAATATTTCCGCTTGGAGCGCTACACATTAATTATTGCTATGAGTAAGCTACACACATTGAACTATATGATAACTGGAATCAGGGCATAGTAACTGTGTGTAATGGCAAAATCTGGTGACTGTGGCCTTGAACACGCTCTCTAGGAGGGCGTGACATGCGTTATCACTTAAATAAATCATATCATTATTATCACACAAAAATAATAAGAATAACATTGGTCATTGCGTGGTTTGGTTGTTTCCGTTTTTATAATTCCGTAACTTAGAGGGATACACGTTGCTAACATTCCATCAGATTACGAATACGGTACAATTTCCAATACTTCAACCGTAGGGATACAGGACGTTACACATGCAGTATACAAGCGATTCGTACCGACCCGTATCGGACTCGGACTTCGAGACGAGGTGGTACGTAACTATTCCGTAACGATACTTATCGAATTTTTCTTCTTGAAAATCTAGCATCTCTCGACTTGCTATGCAACACCACCTCAAGTTGGTCACTGTGTAACCGCTGTTATACCAAAAAACAACCACTCTTATCATTTCGGCCAAAAGCTTATCACTACCGCTGTCAAAATCGGGAAATCTGTCCCAGCCACTGACTGCTGGAATGCTCACCAAGCAGTGTTGCCCGAGTGAGAATGTTAGAACGAGATGGGACATACTAATGGTGTTACTATCTTTGTCTTGCACAAAGACGTAATGACGCATCTAATATGAATTTACCTCGATATTATTTTAGTTTAATTCTTTGAACTTGTATCTTCTTATTTATTTTTTAACTTCCACAAAATTTTTTTTATTATTTTAACAGAATATAAATAATTTATAATATAACAAGTAATGAAACATACTTTTCTTGTGGACTTCTACATTTTACATAAAATAAATCACTAAATGTAGTAAAATAATATCTATTAAAATAAAAACATATTATTTATAGTATTATTCATAATTGAAAGATAAGTTACTTACACTACTTACCTGGAGCTGTATCTACTACTTACCTTAAATTGTACTTACTACTTTCTTAACTTAACTTCTGGTAACTTGGTAACTATGTAAAGTTGACTTCAACTAGATATTTTCTGTAATGATAATAAAACTATAAATTAGTAAAAATATTTTATTTAAAATAAACTAGCAAAATAATTAACTATTAATGAAACTATTGTGAAATATGATGGTTGATTTATTACATAATATAAAAGCATTCATACAACCATTAAAGCATAATAAAAAAAAAGCATTCACCACAAATTAACAAAATAAATTATAATAAAAAAGTGTTGAAAATATCTTCAACAGTATCTCCAATTAAGTGATTATTTTTTAATAAATTTAACATTTCACGTATACTACTTACTCGCTTGTCTCTTCTCATTAATTTCTGTTGCAAAATCATCTTGTCTCAATGTAAATCTTGTAATGTTCTGTCTAACTCTTCCCCAGTTAATTTAGTCTGTATGCCAATGTCTACAAACTTGGTATCTGTTTCACAGGTAGATATATTATTTTCCTCAATATTTTCAGTATTATGAACGGCTGTTGTTGTGGTTGTGTCCTTTAAAATACATTTAAATAACAATTTAACTTAAGAGAACAAAATTCCTAATACATAATGGCCATGTTATAATATAAACAATATATATTAATACTTGTTTTAGTATGTATATTTACTTACTTCTCGTTGCAGAATTCTTCTTTCTTTTATTTTTGGGATTAAATAATTTGGGAAATTAAATACAAATGGTACTGCAGATTTTTTTGACATTTGTTTTCCACTTACAACAGCTGAATAGAAGTCAGTTTCTTTTAAATGTAAACTGCATAATGTTGAGCTGGAAGAAGACTTAAAGTCTTTTCTTCGAACAACATGTACCCATTTTTGAAGCCTCTCTTTCTCTTTAAGAGGAAACCTTAAATATCAAAATAATAAATGTAGATTTGTTTGAAATTATCAATGTGTAAATTCAATAACACTTTATACTAACTTGTGAAATGACAAGTCTTCCCTAACGTTACTTGAGCTAGGACAATCAAAACCACTACAAAAATTCACCATCTTAACTTGGCCACTATTTGAAATTTTAAGTTAAAGTTTAACACAGTTTAGACCAAGAAAAAAACGTTTGAGGGGACTGCAGCACGCGTATTTTTAATACGTTTTAGACCAATAAGCGGTAGTAAATTACACATACTTCGGAATGTCCGATTTAAATTATTCATACATGTATGAACTCTTTGACAAAATATCTAGGCTTTTTAGGAAGTCGATTTTTGATTTTCAATTTTAAAAGCCCTTAAAATTAAGGTATTTTTTTCAAAAATCTTATGAAATATTTGCATTATATTTGTATTTATTTTGAGCATATCTGATTTTAAATCAAAAAAGTGATTCCTAAAGAGCATAGTCTAGAAGATTATAAATTCAACCTTTTTTTTAAATTTCAATCAAACTTCAGGAAGTATGTTTAATTTACTACCGCTTTTAGCAGTTTTTATAGTTATGCATACAAGAATATATTTCGTTTTTCGCTATGCATTGACATGTGCGTGCGCGTGTGAGAGTTTCTTCCGGCGGCTCGGCGCGCAGCGGCGGTTGCTCGGTGCGGCGAGACATCGATTCTTGGAAACAATTAGTGGATAAGGATTACTGGATAGGTATAGCAAAATCACTAATGGATAATAATAATAATAAAATACACATATTATATTAGGAAATATAAAGTTATACCGCCTATATGAATCATTTGATTTCAACACTACACTCCGATCAGTAAAGTTGTCTGTAAAGTGTCCAGTGTTTCGTGTTTTTTTTTCATTATTTTAAAAAATGGGTAAGGACTGGCGTTTTGGCCGAAAAACTAGGCGTAAGTTAAGTGCACCTAAATTAAAAAAACACAGATTGAACAATTTACAATCGATAAAAAAAAAAAGTGACAAAGATCATAGCTGCGATGTTCAGGTAATTATATAAACACATATAGAATTTAGAATAATATTACTATTTTAAATATTGAAGAATATTCAGTATTATTTTATTTTGATTGTGACAGGGAAATGCTCATTTATCAGTATCTGAAAATAATTTGACAGATAATAATACCATAGAACTTACTACTGTCAGTAGGTAAGTAAAACAGTTATTGGAAATTAGTTATTAGTATTTTTTAAATTTTAACAACAAAATAATTTGCAAATATTCATGTTTTTAACCAATTTTTGTCAATATTTGAACCTAAAATGCTAATAAAAAAAATGATGCCTATATGTATTCTCATAATTTTTGAATCACTATAAGAATAACTTATGAGGAACTTTGTATTAAATTTTCAAGTATTTTGACTCGGCCAAAACAATTTTATCGCCAATTCAAAAAAAAGCGGGTAAGTGGGTATCGCTCTGCTGTACATTATAGGGGCCGTATGCATTACTATTATTACTATTATACATTACAAAAGTGTTAAATTTGAATATGATGATAGGTATCATTGCATACGAAAAACGATTCTGAACGGAGATAATTTTTACGAATTTTTGTCAATATTTGAACTTCAAATGTCAATAAAAAAATCGTGCCTATGTATTCTTATAATTTTTTAATCACTATAAGAATAACTTATGAGAAACTTTGCATTCAATTTTCAAGTATTTTGACAAAGCCAAAAATAATTTATCGCTACTTTAAAAAAAAAAATTATCAGAAAAATCGAAAATTTCAGTTGTCTATAAATAGCTCAAAAAAATTCAAAATATTTTAAAAATTAAATCATGTAAAGAAAATGCCAATCTAAAGAACTGGTGAAATTTTCAAGTATCTACGACTTATACTTTTTGAAAAATAACAAATATTTAATATCGTAATTTTGACCTCTATAATGCACCAAGGATATTCACTTTGTCATCGGGAACCACCCCTGAAGTTTGAAATTGAAGCAGTATTTCGACTAGTTATGCTGTACAGTGTACACAGACACAAAAAAAAACACACATCATTGTATAATCAATATAATATATTCATCATTTCGTTCAAATATCTAAAAGTAAAGAGAAAAAAACGTTAAATAGAAAATAAATAAATTACAACTTTTGACATGAAAAATGTGTAGGTATATACCGTCTAAAAAAACTTATTTTGATAGATAAAATATTGATAGTTACGAAATAGGTTCTGCTTTAATTTAACGCTGATTTCTTATTTATGCATAGAACTAATACCAATGATGTCGAATTTATAAACGCCGAATCTTCGTACCATGATAACTTTACCTCTCATCAAACCAAATCATATTTTGCTTCTACTCCATTAAACACTAAGTTATTTACCGAAGTAGTTGAGCAGGAAAATAATAATACCGAAGTAAATAACTCATTTGATAGTCTGAATGGAAGAAGATTAGTCAATATAAGATATATTTTTGAGTCGATACAGTCAATAAAACACCAAGGGTATTGTATCTGCAGTCATTACTTACTTCATATTTGTTTATTTTAAATTGTATCTATCGTAATTCATACTATAGGCTGTCTACAGCATTTTTATTAATTTTATTGTATTTTTTAAATTTTAACTAGGTAATAGCTATTATGATAATATCAAAAAAACAGATGCCCGTATGAATGTGTAACACATTGTGGAGTAGTCGGAACAGTTAGTACCGGCTACCTCCAACAATGTCACGTGTTCGTGACGTGAAATGAGGAAAACAAAAAAAGAGAAACAAAACACGGTGGTTCGTTGGTAAGAGTTTTAATATATATTTTTTTACAATAGCGAATGCCGAACAATGCACAAGGAATATGGTGTCAGAAGTGAAATTTGTTAACGGCGAGTAGCGTTGGTCACGAGGTTTCTTTTGGTTGCCGTAGGCGAGGAGTCGAACGGACGAGCGAGTGTATGTCGTCGAAGTCGCGGGAGATAAAAAAAGTCCGGGCGGCGGCTAGACCGTAGCCGTCGCGCAAAACCGACCGTTGGTTTGAAAGGGGGGTGGTCAACGCCTTACAATGCCGACATCGTCCGGGAGGAAATTATGTGGTGGCTGCGCCGCCACATTACTCCCCATCGGAGGAGAAAAACAAACTTGTTGGTTTTTTAACTCCGTACGTTGGCGATCGATGACGTGGGCGGCATATGAGTGGTCGGCCAACGGGTCGTCGCGCAGGACGAAGGCCGGTTTGAGCTAGTGATGGGAATAATCGAATGATTTCGATAATCGAGTAATTAGTAATCGAGATATTACTATAATCGAGATATTCACTCGATTAAAATAATCGAAATATTATTTCGTCATGGTCGATATATTTATTCGATTAAAATAATCAAAACATTAAACATTATTGATAAAAAATCAACCAATATTTAACTTATTAATACAAAATTAAAAACTTGGTTAATACAAATTCATAATTACACTCATTTTTTTTTTTTTTTATTGATCAAGAAAAAAAACTCGGCAGCTACATGGCCATTAGTTACAGAGCTCAAGATTTTAACAGCATTTTTTCTTTTTTAAGATATTACAATATTAGAGATATTAATATGGTTTCTAAGTATTTATATAAGAAAAAAAAACAAAAAAAGAAACAAAAAAGGAGGAAAAAAACAAATGTGAATCATTACATTAAATTATAGAGACCTGTCGACTTCAAAAAAAGGATCATCTAACCATACTTACACTTATTAAAAAAACACTTATAAAAACAAAACAAAATATTTTTTATAATTAACAATTAGAAACAAAATTATTATTGAATCGCCAATCTAAATATAATATATTAGTACATTACATCATGTTATAATTACTATTTAAGAATATTATGTAATCTAAATTTTTTGGAGACAACTTATTTCTGCGATCATTCGTCAACAAACCAGCTTTGGAAAACACACGCTCTAACTGAAGTAGCAGGTATACATAAATATTTTAACTGCAACTTGTACAATTCAGGAAATGTGTGCTTATGTTGTTTCCAAAAATCTAGGCAATTTTTTCCACGCTGCAATTAATGTGATATTTCGATATATTGACGAACAATTAATGTTGCATTTACTTCTGGGTTAATAACACTTCTGACTTCAGATAACTTAGTGTCGAAATATTCCCATAAAGAATTAGAAGGCTCAGTTGCTGGTGCAGATGTTTCTGTTATATTATTATGATCTTCATTTTTAAGACAAATAATTGAAGTAAGCTCTTCAATTATCCATTTTTGAGCGTTCTCAGCATTATCAGCTAATCCAAATCCGGTTTTTTTAAATCTCGGATCTAAAAAAGTTGATTTAGCTACTATTTTATTTTTCTCTAAGATTCCTAAGCGCCTCGCGACTATATCTAATAATGAATTTTGTAATAATATTCCAGCATCAGTCTCAGGTTTTATATTTTTTACCATAAACTGAAGACCTCTTATTAGTGGTATTACTAATGATAATGTCGGGTACTTTTCTCCGGATAATTCTGATGTCATACTTTCAAAAGGTTTCAATATTTTAACACAATCGGCTATTATATCCCACTCTATTGCTGTTAAACCATTTGGAGCTCGACGAAGCGATGATATTGCAGCAGATAATGGATCTTTAATTTTAATGAGCCTCTCAATCATAATTAAACTTGAATTCCACCGGTTATTAACATCTTGTTTAACTTTTAATTCAGGGAGGCCCATCTGTTTTTGAAATTCTTGTAGTTTATCTGTCGCAAAACGACTATGTTTGAAATGCCCTACTATAGCCCGACATGTTTTTAGTACTTGGAGAAATTCTGTATTTTTATTAATAGCTTCATTAACACTTAAATTAAGGGTATGGGCTACACAGGGGTGATGATATTTTTTTAGATGCTCATTAATTGCATTTTTTATATTTGATCCACTATCCGAAACTACAGTTACTATTTTATTACTTATATCCCATTGATTAAAAATAATCGAAAGAACGGCTGCGATATTTTCACCTGTATGACTCGGTGCGCCGTAACTCCGCACGGATCGTCGCCATTTTATAATATATCAGCTTAACTCCGCATACAAGGTTTTTTTTCGACACCTTAACTCCGCATACGAAGTTTTTTTTAAACACCCTAACTCCGCATAAAAGATTTTTTTTGACACTGTAATTCCGCACATATTTTTTTTAATGTTTAAAATATACAAAATACAATACATATTATTAAAGTTAAATAAAAATAATATTAGACTGCAGGTAATACTAGGTAATTATAA